GCTACAAAGCAGCTCACAATAGCCGTTTTCACATATGCACTCCGGATAATAACTAGATATTTACAGGAGGACTTCTCCGGAGATTCTCCCGAACTAGCCATTCACATACGCTCCTCACAGCAGGGGACTTTCCCTGTCAGAGCGGAGGGGCCGCGGGGGATTTCCTGAGGTAAATAAACAACGCGGAAGTAGCGGCCGAAGCAACAGAGTCCGCTACACGACGTTATAATGAGAATATTTGCCTTTATATCAATGCTATGTGTAATCCAATGGAATGACAACATCCACAAAAGAGAGGAGAACAACATACTGACGAACAGAAAACATAATGCAGATGTTTAATTACGTGCACAGAGATCATAGCGGTCGCGTGCAGACACTTTAGGCAGTCACTGTATATAAATGTCACTCAGGTCCCATTGGCTCGAATTGAAAATATCCGGAGTATATTCGGCCGCGTTCAGACATCAGCTCACTCGGACTTTCTGCGGATAAAATACTAGGGGTCTGGCCGGATAAACTCCGGGTAAAGTCCGCGTGAAAAATGCGGCTGTTTGTGTTCACACACAGCCTAAAGAACCTCCGGGTAGCCAAATCTCCGGAGTTTTTCAGGAGATTTCCGTATGTGTGAAAAGGGTTAATGACTACAATGTAATCCTGTAGGGCAAATATACTGCCACTAAGTTTGCCTGTTTGCCACTAAGAGGCTCACTTTATTAGAGCCCAAAGCACTGACAGTGCAAAGGACCCTATTGGAATGCAAGGAATTGTCGTTGTGATTCAGTGTTTTCCTTTGCACAAATGAATCACTTATTTGGGGTTTTTAACATGCAAGAAAACTCACATTTTTGAACCAAGATCAGGAGTTCAGGAAATTTACGTAAAATTGAATTGAAGGCGGGCAAGAAAGAATAATAATAATAAACATTTGCATTCCAAGAGGGTCCTCGTTCTGAGGTCGGTGCTCAGGCCCTAAAAAGTACATGTGCAGAGTCAAAATTCTGTGGGATGCTCATCATACAGGAAACAGGTTTTTACAGTACAGCACAAAGGAGGAAATAAGGAATGCTTATGAAATTATCTGAGCAGGGTCCGCTGCCTTCATGTAAAATGTATTATAAAATACACTTCTCATAATGGAGGCTTATATCCTCGTTCGCTGAGCTCTAGACACTTTCCCCCCTCTCCACTTCGTTCCCTTCAGGGCAGCGCTCCACTTCACGGACAAGATTGAATATTCATAAAAGACTCTTCGGATTTCAGTTGAAACACGGACATCTGCCTATGCTCGGCATATGCATAAAATGTGCATTAGCATGGTCTTATTCCTGTCTCACTGATGTGGTGAGTGGGTGTTTATAGGACACTTAATGGATTCCGTCCCTTGGAGTGGCCATCAGATCGCATGTAATCTGCCAAAGTCTTCTTTGAAGATCACATTTTACAACCTGCATGACTGACAGCGAGCGGTCTGACGGTCTGCACCTCCTCCACCTGGAACATCATTGTCTCTGCAATCCCTTTCCTGCAGACTCAAAGTATATAAATTGGCAAACACAGCATGAAGCATATGGTTATTGCCCCTAAACTTTTTTTTTTTTACTCCTTATTTATAAGTGTCCTAGAAATGTCCTCAACCATAAAGCCACAGGAATGACCTCTGGAAGCATGAGATACAAAGACATTTAACAGTCCAGGGAAGCACAAAATCCCTCATCACACATCTTAACAGTGTCTCGGTTCTTAACTCAGAGCTCTATAACTCTCTAGCTCCATCTGTTGAGACAGTTTCATCACTCTTTTCTCACACATACTGGTGATCAGAGGAAGCCAGGAGTTACACTCTGGCTAGAGGAGAGTGCTGAATTCTTGCAAGGCATGGTAGAAACAAATGTCGGCGGAGATAATGATTTAGCAGCAGCCACAGATTCTTACATAACGGCCGCTGCTATTCTTCAAACACGCTCCACTGAATAGACTAATGAGGGCCGGGTCAACCTCCTCATTTGACTTGAGAAACAATGATTTACACATCTGTCTGTTTTCTGCATCTGCTTGTATTATTCAGGATCTTAGGTGGCTGGCTCTTTTCCCAGAATGCACTGGGCAGGAAAAGGTCACCAGTCCGTCACAGAGCTGAAACACCTGACATACACATTGGGAGCTTCGGGCAGAGAGAGCGTGTCAAGCTCGATCAGGGAAACACAGGTAGCTAACCTCTCTGCAGTCCAGTGACAGGGCTAACCTAAATACTGTGTGGCTACTTGAATCTCTCAAATGTCAGGCGAAAAACAACGACGAGTAATCAGTGACGTCTGTTACATCACTTCAAAAAACTTCCAAAAATATGCTTTTATGTGATGTCATCGTCTAATGCCTTTGAACAGTTTTCGCTTACTCTGACTTTGTTTTATTTGTTATCTTTTGAATGATTTTATTTTGTTTGTTTTCTTTCATTGTTCTTTTCCTTTTCCTTATTTTACTTCTATAATTTCCATAAAGTATTTTATTTTAGTGCCTGTACTCCTTCCTGCTTCATATATAGTTCTTTGACTGCTTTTTCTTGCTTTTATCCCGTCTTCTCCATTTCCTCTCCGCTACGTTTAAATGTGTTTTACTTTTTAGTTTTTTGTCCCTTCGGTTCTCGCGTGAAGCCGTGTTGTGTGGCTTCTTTTGTTGCTTACCGAGTTTCTTTCTTGTCTTTTTGTGATTTGCTTTGCTCAGTTGTCAAATAACTTTTAAAGGTGCTACATAAATAAAGTTATTATTAATGTTTATTTAACGGATAACTATCTTTAAGATGACTACTGAGTTGCATAAAGCTAAAGATGCACTGATCCTCTTTATTTTTTTCAGTTCTGATCTGGTTCTGATACTTTATGTACAGATACCGATACTGATGTTGATTTTATTATACAGTGTTATTGTTGTCGTTGGTATTATGTGTAAGGCTACATAAAGCTTTAGTAAACACATCATCGCATTGTGCTATCTTCACATAGAAGGAGCTGTTCCATCTCGACCGACCGTCGTCATGGAGACCAATTGTGGGTTCTTGCAGTTCAGTCTGATTGTCTTCATAGTGAGACTGTATGAGCTGAGAATCTTTTAAGTGCCCAACAATCTTTCTTGATCGGGGATGTGGATCAGCACCGGCAGTTCAAAATCCAATGAGTAAATGATGTCAATATCGAACCCGATAACGATATTAGATCAGATCTTTTCCATCTCTACATAAGGCTAGAAAAGAGCAGAAAGGATATGCTTATAAATACAACAACGATCAGACGGGTATAAGAAGGGGGAAAATATGACCCTTTTGGTTATGTAAGTTTGATGCAGTTATGAACAAGATCTAACTGGAATATTCTTTGAATTTGTTCCTTTTGCGGTGATAGTAAACCGACCCTCATGTCAGTGATGTGTCGGATAGTTCAAAGGTCAAATGTTTTGACCTACAGCTGTTAGAATCAGTCAACAGAAAACGAGGACTAATGCTTCACTACTGATGATTCTAGGTCATGAAGTTGGAGAATTTGATTCATTTCTTTCTCTTGCATGATGGGAAAGTGAGTTTGATTGGTTTTGCTTTTGTTCATGCGACAAAAGAAGTCGTGTTCACTATCGTCTTAGAGAAGAAAACAATCAGCTGCCGCGTTTGGATCACACATGGCCGACACTTTGTAGGTTCATGTTCATCACAGAAACGTTGTGTATACTTTGTTTTTTGGACTTATCATCAACAGCCAACAAATCTGTGCGTTGGTGTTGCCAACTCAAAGCTTTCATTCTCACACCTCAGCGGTTTAATTTTCACAGCATGAAAAACTGAACGTGTCAGCAGATACACTGATATACTATTACCTAATAAAGTTGATATACTGATCCTGGAAGCTATCGCCTTCCACTTCCAGGAGATATTAAGAAACATGATCGTAAATTTAGTTTTAATCTCTGCCAACCTGATGATTATGATTCACACTCACTCTTCTATTTGTCCTCTTCTTGCTCTCGGCTAACTCCAGAGGGAAACGACTGCTTCTTCAAGCTGCTAAATGCTCATCTTTGTCCACCAGATAGACACCGACAGCGTCTGCAGTTTTGAGCGGGACATGTAGCCCAGTGTAAAGTGTGTTTTTAAAGCTTTAGCCTTTATTTAACAGAGATTAACGAATAATTAATAGAAGAGTCGATGAGACTTTCACCTGTACAACATGTGTTGTTTGGCATCTCTTTTGTTTTCCTGATAGCTGTAACCGACTGTTAGGATCATTTCTTCTTTTATCATCATCACTGCTGCAAGAGCTCGACCGATTAATCAGCCAGCCGATAATATCAGCCAATCAAGTGACTCAGTGTCGGCACGTTTTACAATAGTTAGTGCCGATATTATGAGATTTATTTACCAGTCAAATAGCATTTCATTTGAGTATCGTTTTATTACACTAGCAGTTCTCTTTCACCAGCAGAGGGCGCTATATGGACCATCACTCTCCAGTGTCAAGCGATGATGCGCGTACATGTGCAGTTACTTTCCAGTTGAGCGACCATCTTGTTTTTATTATATATCTTTTCCACAAGTTTTTGGTTAACCGCATTTGAGGGATCAACGCACTAAATGTATCCGTCAATCTATACAGATATCGGCATCAGATTTTTTTGTCTACATAATATCAATATCGGACCCAAAGTCTCATCTCGGTCTGGCCCTAATTGGTGAATAAAGTAAAAGAAACATGATGTCATGCACAAGTATCACAGGGTTTCCACCTCATTAAAGAGTTAAATAAATTGGTTTTGAGATCAAGCTTTTATTTATCAAAGCAAAGCAATGAAATACAACCAAATATGTAAAAACCTAAAAACAAAGCAAAAAATAAGGAAACAATTGGTCAAATCAAACACGCTCTAAAAGTGCGTGCTGAACAGTTTGTCGAAGTGAGGCACCATGTTTAGATCTTAACACCAACACAGGAGAGGACGTTTCATTAAAAAAAAAAAAAAAAAAAAAAGGGGCTTTTATACCAGGAAAATGACGTTCAGTCTACATAGGTGACATGTAATAAATACAGTTCCAGGAAAAAAAAAAAAAGTAAATGAATGACATAACGGGGATCTGTGGGTCAGGGTGGAAAAAATTGGAAATCTGAGATTCTTAAAAAGTCGTAATTATAAATCCAAGAGTGAAACCGAGTGTCCTCACTAGACAGCGGCTGTTCATGGCAACAAAGAAAGGAGTAACTCCTCGGCTCGCTCTTATCTGTCTGGTCGCATCATGCCCGGCCTGACTACTGGCATCATCATGGGTCGAGGGTGACGCATCATGTGTGGTGGTCCTGGCATCATCTGCATGGGTCCTCCCATCGGCGGCCTCATGCCTCCTGAATGTGACAGTGAGGAGATACACGGCGTTATGACAACAGCCTGACAGGAAGACTCACAGCAGTGTAATTTAAACTTCAGAGTTCATTTAGGATAACCTTGTCGGGATCGTACTCTTGTTTGAGAGAGAGAGAGAGAGAGAGAGAGATAGAGATATAGATAGAGATATATCTCTCTCTCTCTCTCTCAAACCAGCTGCTGGGGTTTTTCTTCAGGTTTTCTGAAAACATGCACCTTTAAGCTTCACATTTAGGATAGTCATTATTAATTAATATATATTAAACTACTTTTAAAGTGTGAATCCATTCCTTCCTTTAGTCAATCTTTATTGAGAAAAGTTCTCTGAATGAGACACTGGGTTTCATTCTCAAGTGATGCCAGTTTGAGACCGTTCAGTTTAGCATTTAAGATTGATTAAACACTCAAAGATCGTTTAACATGTGCTGAACAATTATCCAAAGCCCCAGTTATCAACACCTAAAAGCCAAAGATATTATACAGGGTTATTAATGTTATTGTTTGTGTTATTCTCTGTTTTTCTGTGTATGAATGTTCTTTGGTGGGACTTGTCTGTTGGACAGTAACAGTGCTGTGAAAAATGTTTTCCCCTCGGGGACAATAAAGAATAAAGTCTAAAGGAAGAATGTGCAATTTTTTGATCCAGTAGATGTCGCCCTTGAGCACCAGCATTAAACCAAAACAAACAAACAAACAACAAACTGCTGTTTGGTGAAGCCTCCGCTCTCCTCCAGCAACACACCTCCAACCCCTCTCTACTCGCATTCACACAACGGAGTTATCAATTAGAACACAATAGTCAAGCACCGTTTGGACAAAATTGTCCTTTGCTCGAGCTCCAACTGCCTGTGGTCTGCATTGTTGTGTTAGCAGGCTAATGTTAGCACACTTTGGTTAGCTCGTAGCTTCACATAACACAGAATGACTGAGATCTAAACACACTTACGTGACATCCAAATAAGCAGTGAGTAGGCTAGTCTTCTTTTCTCTAGTCCTAAACTATAAAAGCTTTTATACACAAGGCCGTCCCGTCCATGTAAACACGGCCCCTTCTCGCTCATTGTAGACAATCATGACTCAGAGACTTTAACACAGGATATACTTGACTTTGATTTTATTTATGTGTAAAAGGTTGCACAGTCTTCCTTTAAAAGACGGCACATCTTCAAATTCTGACTTATAAATTGTATTAATTATTTCCAGGCAAAACTTAAAATGTATTGTTACAAGAAACCTGAGAAATTCAGAAGCAAACAACTGGCCGCCGTCTATTAGATCGGTGAATGGGACTTACTGTGTAAACCACATGAATCTGTTCTCTGATTTTTTTTTATATTACAAACAGGAATTGAATAATAAGGGCATCAAAGACAACAGATAAAAACGTGTTTTGTCTCTACCTGAAGCAGCCGGTGGCAGACTGAATACTAAAAACTTCTCTACTTCATGTCAGATCCTTTTCATCCCTTAGGAGGACGTTCTTATGGATCAAAGCGACACAGACAGTTGAAGACTTTAAGTGCAGAACCCATTACAAACCAAAAGATGTCTGATAAAAGCACCAAGCGTCGTCTCATTCGAGGTGATATCTCTGAAAATACCTTTTACTGTGTAACACACTTTGTTTCTGCAACACTTTAAAAAAGTGATGTTATGAGACATGTAAGAAGAGACTGAAGCTTTAGAGAAGAAAAAAAATGTTTCTTACCGGGTCCGCCCGGCATCATTCCATGTGGAGGAGGCCCCATCATGGGCATCATGGGGGGACCTCCCATCGGGGGTGTAGGTAGCATGCCTGGTCTTGGAGGACCACCTGTATCACAGATGACAGAACAAAAGTATTTATTACCACATTAGTTTATAGAAAGATATTTATTACTTCATATTTTTAATTATTGTAATCAAATCATAAAGCAGCTGTGCAGAACTGTCATTCAGTGTCACCCACTCCCCTAGGACTAGTCGCAGACTTTAAATATCGTGGCTGAGCCAAGAACAACCTGATTGGTGGAGACTTGGGAGTTTCTTCTTCAGTACTTCATAAATAACCTGCTGGATGTTGTTCCACCAGTCTGTAAGGTCAATAAGTATCTGTTGTCGTTGTGTAATTGTTGAGGTGTCTTCCTGCTTCCTTTGCGACGGCCTAAAGTACCACTCACTGTGAAAGTGTGCCAGAGTAACAAATGAAAACACAAGCTCCTTCTGTCAGAATCCAAACCCAGAGGCATTCGATATAACCACGTAGAGATCTCGAATCTTTGAGCGCCGCGCGTCGGGTTTACTTTTGGAGGTCAAACCGAGGAATCATTTCTAAATCGAGTCTTTTTCAGAAGCTGCTACAAACTTTGACAGTACGTTATATTAATACTATAATGTTTGTGTGTCTTGGTCCATTTTAGCTTTCTTTGCCTATCTAAAAGCACGGCGTGTGAAAACATAAAGCTGTCTCGTCTCGCCCACGTCCAGTCACTCCAACAGAAGTTGTAATCCTGCAGCGGTGGTAAACTCCGTGAATAATAAACACACTTTTCTAGTAAGGTCCTTGATATTGAGAAAAATACTGACATCAGTTCCCTGTTAAATAAGAATCTCCCCATCATGAGCCAGTGTAATGGTCAATGAATCACATGACTGTGCACCTGAAACACAATGGACTCACCTGGGGGAGGACCACCAGGGAACGGTGTGGGGGGAATCTTCCCCTGTTGAAAAGCAGCCGCTGTTTGGAGACAAAGACAAAACATCAACATAGAAACAAAAAGGCCAGATCGTTGCAAAGATACAGCGCTCATGTTCGTTCTCATCGACTACATTTATTGTATTGCTAAATGAAAAGAGCAAGGATGTGTAGTCTGACAACTTTTTGAAGGTGCTCTATGATCCAGATCAGAATTCAGTCTGTAAATCGACATATTCCTCTCCAGTGAGCAGAACTACACTTCAGCACCATGTTTAGCTTTGCATCTTTGAAGGGGATTAGTGATCTGTAATTTCAGAGGGGGCTCGGGTAAGCTGCTGAACACTGTTGAAGCAAAGGGTTTGGTATATCCCACACATGTGAATAATCATGCCATGAGTGGGTTATTTTAACAGGCTTTACTCCAACACCAAGTCGGGGTCTAACCAGGATATTAAATATAGAAAAGGGAAATCAGGCTTTGGACGTCTTTGAGCACTTCGCTGCTAAGCAACCGTTTTAATCTTCATTAGCGACACTAAACTGCTATAAAAAGGTTCGTCACAACTTCCTTACTTGTTTTATCGATCAGGCTCTGAGCCTGCTCCTCCATCCACTTCTGATAGTAGTCTTTCACATTCTCTTTGTGCTTTCTGCCACTGCAGTGGGTCTTCCTCACCGATGGCTGGAACAGAAGAATAAATGATTGTACGTTTAACACGAAGTGGGCGGGGGAGAAAAAAAAGTTGACCTTTTCTTTCAATCATGTGGAAAAAGTAGAAAGAAACGCAGCTTACCGAATCATGTGTCAGGTAGGTATCACAGTAGTCACAGTAAAACCTCAGGGGGGGGAGATGGAAGAGGTTGAGGTTAGCACAAAGACTAAATACTTTGAAAAGAAAAGGCCTGAACATGTTTAACAAGAATAACAATGGATAAACAGGAGGTCTAAGTATTTTGTGATCTTCTTTGAATGGTATACGACGGATAGTAACGTACGAACTAACAGCTGGATGTGGATGTGTGCTTTGTTAATGTCTTGTGAAAGAGAGTCAGTTCATATAAGATTACTCTTCTTTCTGCTCATTTGTCGTTCAATATTTGAGATTTTATGTTTGTATCTAATGATTTTGTTCGGTAGCTGATTGAATGAAACCTTTAAAGAAAATAAATACAAACATTTAAAAGTATCTCAATGCAAAGCATGAAGGGGAAAACAGAGTGAGGCTCATCACAGCAGGCAGATGTGCAGATGTCTGATAAAACCGTACTTATACTCAGCAGGACGCCTTTACCTTACTTTATTGAAGGATTGTATATGTCGTGAAGTACCTGTTTGACTCATAATTCATCGTGCTTTATTTCCATGCATCTAAATTAAACAGTTCAGGGGAAAGACGACGTGTGACTCCTGAATTCATCATCTACTTATTTCATTGTGACTCGTTGTTCTCTGCAGCAGCAGCATGGGAGACTTTGTTCCTCTTTGTACAACTTCAACCTTGGGAGGTAAATGTACGTTTACATCATCTTAAATTAAAACACCAATAACGAAATATTCTCCTCCTCTCATGAAATATAATCAGCTGTAAACCACACAAGTTCAATGTTTCCAATTCACGACTAAAACAGAAGAACATAAAAATACAACTTCTAATGAGAGCTCTGCATGGATGAGACCAAATCAATAAGCTCTGAGTCGTATTCTCCAGCAGAAATTAGTGTTTTAAAGTCACAAAGTTTGAATAGTAGCTCCGTTCACGCCATGGTTGAGTCCAGCAAATAGACGCAGCCCAAACAAAGCTGCACACGTTCATCATGAATGAAGCTGACTTCAAAAATCCGGTTTCAACTTGAATTGTACCTTCAGTTTACACTTGGTGAAAGTATGCACAATACAACGTCGATGAAAACTGGGAATTTCATAATAAGCATTAAAAAAAAAACAAGGAATATCTGAACTTACTTAGGCATGATCCCCCAGCAGTCGCCGCCAAGAGCGATTCCGGTGTTACCAAGAAAGTGTTCCCATCAGATATAACACCAACCGACAGCTAGTTCCGCCTGAGGAGAATGAAAGGTTCCGTTTGCTTCAGACCCCTTTTAGACAAAATAAAACACATTTATTAACTAAGAAACAAAACACTGGAAGATATAAGCGTGTAGAAATATGATGTTTTTGTCCTGAAACTGACATATTTTCAAAATTTTAAACTAAAAACACTTTGCTTGACAGGTTTCTTTTCTCTAAATAGATAGCTATTGTCTACTTTAAATAGTAATTGTTTCCCCCCCAAGGCAAAAAGTTAGTTATATCTCAACAAAAGTGGAAGTTTAGCATACTCTCCCCTTAACTAGCTGTTAAATCTATTTCTTCATTACAATTAGGAAGGCATATACTTCTAAAGTAGAGAAATGTTTTTATAAACTGCCACATAATTGTCAAATTGATTTATTTTCGTATAAAGCAATTGTATTATTATTTATTGATTTAAAACCATATAAAACTCATGTTTCACAAGTTATGGTGACACTTATTAGTACCAAGTCCTTCCAACTTCAAAACGTTCATATAAAAAGATACCAGATTTTTTTAGAGCTCGGTACTCATCAAGTCTATAAAGTACGTGTTAAAATAAATGTAGTGGTAATGTACAATAGAGTCTACAAAAAAAGTTGTTGAGTTACTGCTGAAGGTGGCATACTCAAGGACAAAACCTTCAAAAATAAAACTACTACTTTCTACCATGCCTGTAAAAAAAAGTTGGAACAGAATTACTCATCATCCAAATAAAAAAAGGTGCTATAACAACAAATACAACCTCCACATTAAGAACAAGCTCCAAAACAAATTTAGAAAAAATAAAATGTCTTAAAATTGGAAAGAGGAAAAGAAGCAAAAGAGGGTCATACAAAAGCATGAACCTCACACGAACCTACACAGTACATCATTTACACACTTCATCATTTATGCATGTTGGTACACACGACTGTAACAACAAAGACCCTGCCAGCTAGTATTAGTTTTTATTTTTGTTAAGAGTAAAGGTTTATTTTTAACCAAGCATTGAAAATTGAGATAACAGCAGAAATGTTTTTTTCTGCAGAGAAGTTGAAATGTGTGTTAATAGTTTATGTTGTGTATCAAGTATAGTATAAGAAAGGGGTTAAACTACCTTTCGAAGGAGGTGTACAGTTCTGATTTCTCGCTTTTGTTAGTTTTAAAATCAATACAAAGCTTTATATAGCCGGGGGATTTATTTAAACTACAGGTTATGTACTAAGTAATATTTCTCCATCGAAATCATGTTAATTTACAAATCATTGGGAAACAGGGTTCTTGTTATGTATAAACTTTTGGCCGGATCCAAAAACATTATATTCCATCAAAATTAATAAACCGCCAATGCACCTGAGCTGCAAAAAATAGGTATGATGCATTATTAATAGGCTATAATTATTATTTAATCCTGGGTTTACAGTTATGCACTGATGTCCACATCTTAAGGAAAACAAATGCAGAATAAAATGTAATTTCAATATCACCTTAAAAGCAGTTAAAATATTGTGTTCAGTGTCATTCAAAATATTAATCATCTGATATTGAGCTGCGAATTTAACAATATATAGAATATCTAATTGATGATGATTATAATTTAGACCTCAAGCTTACACTTGTTAATTGTGTAACTGTTCAGAAATACAAATGTGCATCCATAAAAAATTGTTGTTTTGATAGCAAGAACGGAGTAATGTGGGATTTGGTGTCCTCCATACTGCACCTCTGAATATTTTTGGTCGTGTGCTCTAAAAACAGCCACTTTTATTGATAAACCAATGAAAATGTTGCTGCAAATAGCAACAGATGACGTCGACGCCCACAACGTGATTGGCGAGAGGTGACGCGCGCTCTGTTGTAACGTCAAACATCGTCACCCCCCCCCCCCCCCCTCCTGGTTGTGCCATGCGCACTGAGGGTTGTTGTTGTTGAGCTGGTTGTTATGGCTGGACAAGGCCTCGGACTGAACTGAGAGGACCCCTCCCCACCCCCCAACCCCTCCCCTCCCCCGTCTCTGTTGCGGGACACCCGCCACCCATGGAGGGCACAGACATGGACGTGGACGCGGAGCTCATGCAGAAGTTCAGCTGTATGGGCACCACGGACAAGGACGTCCTCATCTCGGAGTTTCAGAGGCTGCTGGGCTTCCAGCTCAACCCGGCCGGCTGCGCCTTCTTCCTGGACATGACCAACTGGTGAGTGCGGGGATACGAGGGCCTCCGATCGGGACGGCGACCAAACGCAAACATAGCTGGATAATTAGCTAATTATCAAACGTGAAACCCGCATTTAAAGAGCATGCTACACAACACACAGCTACATGGCGCTCACATTGCATTCAAATGCTCCTCGGATGCTCGGAGTTCCCAGTTTTCGATGTGTTCATATTTTAAACAACAAGAGAGGCGAGGTGGATGATGTGTTGTGTTTTATCTCTCAGTATTCATTTGCATCACCTTAAATGTAGTGCAGCTAAATACTACAGCTGTATACAATACAACTCGTTACACGTAAGCAAAACAAAAAAAAACGGATAGGCCTACTCATTGTGTGAATTTAATAAAAAAAAGTTTCTTGCCCCCCAAAACAACATTTAATTTCGTCCGCCATTTTTCAGCTTTGTATGACGTCAGGGTTTGTCAACTCTGCAGGTCAGGTACCTAAAATTGTGTCCCCACTTTTCCGTGATGTTTTTTTTCCTGACCTGAGTGGGGTTTTTCAAGTGAACAAAGCACAAGTTTCCGATTATTCTGACGCCACGTGAACGCCTTAGGGTGCATTAGTTTTATTTAAAAACCGACAGACGACAAAACGGAGATGAAATGGTAAAGTGTGTGCCAGCAGTGAGTTCAAATTAAGGTGAAATAACTTGCAAAAGCGGAAAGAAAGCTAACCCCACTGGCTTGTAGGGTTAATTTAAGCACAGGGGGACTCTCGTAAGATTATCTGCCATATTACATAATCGTATTCAGAGCCAGTTTAGCCATGCTGTTTGGGAAACTCAAGGCAGCAGAAGGAGCTACTTCACGATAGTCTGATGACGTAACTAGTCGTGATCTATCAACAGGCAGTTTTGATCAAATCGTCCTTTTGTCCCTTATCCACTGATAAAAGTTTTTCTTTTTCTTCAATCAGTGGTTCATGGCCTTGATCTAATCTATTTTAAAGGGACAACCCATCCAACAATGGATGTGTTTTCACCTTAGAGCATTTAATGTCTGGAAATGTGAGTCATCATGGCTGGGCAATTAATCAGATTTAAATGATATCCTCCCATGATCATGAAAACAAGATAATCCAGATAAAGCGTTTACTGTGCTGCATGCTGTCTGGCTCCAAGGTTTTGTCATTTTTGGTAAATGTTCCAAAGTGTTTGTTGATATATTTTGGTCCCAATGATACATCACCACTACCTCATAAACTTTGTTTATTTATATGTGCTTTCTATTTTTATGCATTTATATTTTAAAGATACCATCAAGCTGTTCTGGTGGGATGTGGAACACGTTTTAAACTTGTTGTTTGTCTTTTATTCTGTTTGTCTTCAGAGACTCTTGAGGAGCTTTCTCACATCTGGAAAAAAAAAACAGCCAGATGTCTTTAGATGTATCTCTACTTAATCAACAAATGTAGATCAGGCCGTATTAGGTTTAAACTTGAAATGTGTATTGTCAGACATGGACGTTAATGCAGGAAGAGTCTGATTTCACTTTATATTGAGCTGCATTGTGGTAAGTAAAGGAGTCGGTGTTTTAAGCTGACCTAAACCAGGGATGAAATACCGTCTTGTCAAAACAAAGGATTTGCCATGCATTGTTTACTTTGAGATAAGGTTTTCTAAGGAGCAGACAATCTGCAGGGAATAAAACAAACACCTTTAATGTTAGTTTTCTTGATGTTATCCTGGAAAGTGTGGTGATTAAGAGACCCTGTGGGAGGTAGGGGTCCCGTGAATTGTGTTAACCCTTGACAACACCAAACTTGTCCTTTTGCGTTGCCACAGGAACCTGCAGGCTGCTATCGGTGCATATTATGACTTTGAAAGTCCCAACGTCAACACGCCATCCATGTCCTTCGTTGAAGATGTGACAATTGGGGAAGGAGAGTCAGTTCCTCCAGATACGCCGTTCACGAAGACCTGGAGAATACAAAACACAGGTGGAGACTTCAATCACATGTTTAGTTCACACTCTATAATTATCCTTTCTGAACCTCTCTGTAATTTCTGCCAGAGTAAATGTTAGTTACGGTGTCATGATTTTTTTTTACATGTTCTTTTTGAGCTGTGTCTTATCTGCACTCATTGCTGTGTATTGTAGGTGCTGAGTTGTGGCCACCTGGGGTTTGTCTCAAGTACATTGGGGGGGATCAGTTTGGGCATGTAAACACGGTAGTGGTTAAATCACTAGACCCCCAGGAGATATCAGATGTGAGTGTGCAGATGAGAAGTCCCACAAATCCAGGCATGTACCAGGGCCAGTGGAGGATGTGTACAGCGACCGGATTATTCTACGGAGGTAGGAAATCCCACAATATTTGATTTGTTTCTTACAAAACAGGGCTGCGTTATTAACTACAATATATATATTTTAGCTGACTTCTTTTCATCAACATCCTCGTAAAGTTTCTCTGACCCCACGTCTTTTCTTCTTTCCTCCTCAGACGTAATCTGGGTGATTCTGAGCGTAGAAGTTGGAGGTCTCCTCGGCGTGACCCAGCAGCTGTCCTCTTTCGAGACGGAATTCAACACCCAACCCCAGCGCAACGTGCAGGAAGACTTCAACCCGTTCGCCTCGCCGCAGAAAAACAAGCACGACGCCACTGACGACAGCTTCAGAGATCCTGGCGGGGCGTGGGAGCGCACGCAGGAGCCAATCCAGCAAGATCAAAATGGACTGTCTCATAATGCTGTAAATAGAGCGTCGAATGGTCTCCAAACCAATCTTTCTGTGGTGACTTATGGTCAGGTATGTACTATTCAGATTTAGAGCTTTAAAGACAAATCACATCAACACTCACTACATTCAAAAGTCACAAGTCGCCTTTTTTAATTGTTTGTGCGAAACAATGAACTTCAGAAGCCTACATAATGATAGTAGGACTAACCTCCATCGACGTTATATGGAGTCAGTTGTATTCTCAGTTTGATTCGGGCTTACGTCAGTCATTACTTGATTATTTAGCTAAAGTGGATCAGGTCAGTGGTGCCCACAGATCAATGAATCTGAAAGCTGCAGTAACAGTGGATGAAGTGTTTGCTGTATCTTAGAGCTGGATAGATCAAATACATCCGTTATTGACACCACTTCATTTCGGCATTTGTGGAAGCAGTGAGATCATTCCTAGTTTTTCTGATATTATTTATTTTGTTTTGAGGAGAACCGTAGTGATTGAAATGACGGCCAGGCACGTTATGTCACATCACCTTACCTTATCATAGGATGAAAAGTGGTTGTTCCTTTTTCTTCTGAAATTTGTGTTTTGTCAAATGGCTCTTGAAACAAAAAAACAAAAAAGCATTTGATTGGGTCATCATGATTGTATATTCACTATTAATGTTTCTCTGCCATTTCTGGAGAAGTTATGCTTGTTAAAGAATATGTTTCAAAGGAAGAAAGTGCGACTTTTTGATCGCCCTTATGCACCAGTATTACACCAAATCAAACTGATGTTTGGTGACATCTCCGCTCTCCTCCAGCGGCACACATCCAAGCCCTTCTCCACTCGCGTTCGCATGAAGGAGTTATGAATTAGAACTCACGATAATTAAGCACCATTAAGCGCAAGCGGCAGACAAAATTGTCCTTTGCTCGATCTGTAATAGCCTGTTGCCTGCTTGTTGTGTTAGCAGGCTAATGTGAGCACACTTTAGTTAGCTCGTAGCTTCGTATTGCACATAAATTGACACGATATGACCGTGATCTAAAGACACTTACATGACATCCAAGTAAGCAGTGAGTATGTTATTCTTCTTTCCTCTAGTCCTTGACTAAAACAGTTTTACACGCACGGCCGTCCTGTCCATGTAAACATGATGTAAACACGGCTCTCACAACAACACAGCTGGCAGGACTCACGCTTCTCACTCATTGTAGACAGTCATGACACAGAGAGATACTCACAGAGATATACTTGATTTCTGCTTTATTTATGTGTACAATGTTGCACATCCTCCTCCAGCTATTATTGTTTCAAAAATTCATCATCCCACCTTACAAAGGGAAAATGTCAGACAGAGGTACGCTGGCAAACGTGCTCCTTAAACTCAAGACTTTATCATGTCAGAAAGACCTCACGGTTATCCAAATCAAAGGGTTCTCCTGGTTTTAACCTAATGTTTCTTAAACAAATGTTTTGGCAGTCACAATGAGTTATGTGTCAGTTTAAATGTTGGCCTTAGGGTAGTACTAAAAATTCACGGAGTGTTTAAAACATAGAGGATTTATTTTATCCTCTCAGGAGCATCTGTGTGCTGATTGTGTTTTATGGCATTTGCTCCATAGATTTTAATATCGGTCATGTATAAGTTGTACACGGCACACTGCATTTAGTCATGGACGAGATTGATGGAAATCTCAAATGGTCGTTAAAATCATTAGGAATTCTTGTCTAGGCGTCGTTTCATAGCAGCAACAATGGTGTTGAAGTCGGTCAGCAGTTGTTGAGATATCCGTTCTGGACAAACCAAGACAAACTTTATAGCGTGGAAAGTCTATTTAAAAGTGTGCATGGCAGAAAAGAAGTCAGATCCAGGCCTCGTTTGATGATTTGAAATGCAGGTACAATCCGAATACTACATACATGTCACAGTCATGATTGCATTGCAACACACAATACGTGCATACAGATTGCTATATATTCGATATTAACACCCCTTCTTGACATCATAAGCGTTTGGAGGGTGAGATAAATGCTCTCCATTTGTCATGCCTTACCCCCAATTCACACACACTCCGTGGGCGCCGCGGTCCGTCAGCGCCGCGCACTACGTCGTACTTAGCTTCCACTCTAGTCTATCATTGTGTTCACACAGCGCGCGCTGCGGTCCGTCTCCGGCGCGAGCCACCGACGGCACTGCGCTCTGCTCCGTTTCAAATACGCAGCGAGTCTGTTTTCGCCGGAGAGCGCCGCAGGAACGCGTCAAGCTGGACAGAATATGACAGCCCGGACAGGAAGTCAGACAAGGAAACGCACAGAGCATCGGTCAATTTCAAAATAAAACACAATATACGGACTCGCGATCGTATTTTTCATCACTTTATCAACATTACGTCAAAACAGGAACCGAATTAACAACAATGCATCCTCAGAAAGACAAAGCAACATGTTGTTTGCATGTTTTTCTCTTTATTCCCGCGGGATCTTGTAGTTCTCCTGTGATGTGTCATTGGTGCACCCCTCTGCGCTTGACGTCCCAGAAACGGATCCAGTGTGAATGGGCGCCAGCCGTCCGACGGAGCAAAACCGTGGCGCTGTGAAGTGTGTGAAAATTGGGTGTTATACGTTGGTATCCAGCGTACATAGTTACTTGGGGTGGCAGTAGTTCAATCTCTGGGGACTTTGGTTGGGAGCTGGAGGGTCGTCTGTGTTCAAGTCCCGGTGCAGATCAAGTCAATCCCGATAGCTGGAGAGGTGTCCGCTCACTTCCTGAGTACTGACCAGGGTCCCCTTGAGTGAGGGCTCCAAACTGCTCTGGCGCTCCCTCTGATGTCTCTCCATTAGTGCATGTTTATAGGAACTTGTTTGTGCACGTGTGTGTATTTCAGCCTATGTGTGTGTGTGTAGCATTTCTCAACAACAAAGTGAACATTTTGAATTTCCCCTCAGGGATTAATATACTGTATCTTCTTCATCTTCTTCTCATTTACACATATGTACACCTATGAAGGAAATGCGGATAAATGAGGGATCTAATCTGATATCTTGCAAATGACCGTGCAGACAGTCCGCCCTAAATATCTGATTTGGGGAAACAGGTCAGATTTGCCTGCAGTTTGAACAAAGAGTTAGAGTTGCAACCGTCATCAAATGCTCGAGGTGGACTCCTGATCCGCCGGTCCAACACTTTGTGTCCACACTGACACATCGTGATGGCTGTTAGAGAGGGATTGTCATAACATGTAGTAGACGAGCGGACATAACAACCGTAGCTTGTCCAGCTGAAAATCAAATGATGTGGTACCTGTGAGCTCCAGCCACACTTAAACCTTTAATAGCTATATCATCATGCTAAAGATTACATGCTAATTCTTGTAAATTTACAACCTGTTACTGGTAGCTCAGCTGAACTGAACTGAAACAGGTGTAATTATTTGTCCTTTTTAGTGTAAAATGATAAACAGCAGAATGAAGCTGAAATATGTTGCAACCCCCATTTGAGTATTACCACCACACATGTGTGTTTTTATTGCTCATCAGTTGAGACATGAATCAGAAAATGTAGCTTCTTCAAAACAATGCTATATCCTCTTATGAAGAAATGTCTCCTGTTATCACAGCGCGTACCACTCAGTGTGACAACTCATTTACTCCATTCAGCCTCCTTAATCTCTCAGGTGGAGCAACATAATTGTTAAACTGTAGCATTACCTCGTACCTGTAAGCTGAGCCCTTATTCATAGTTTTGGTCTCTCCTGGGTGGCTAAACTTGAAAGTTGACAACTAGTCAGCTTTGTCAGCTTGTATGAAATCTACACTGACTGAGCTGCCTCCTCCATGTACAGACTGCAGGTTGTCTTGCCGCCTTGAAGGTGAAAACAACACCAGACAGCCGTGCAGCTCAGGCACAATAAACAAACAGACGCCAAAAAAACACCAGACATTTTCTTTAGAGCGTGACCAAAATGAGACATTTAAAACAGATACCAGTACCGCTTTAATCAGGGAGAAAATACAGATTACTGTTATCGCTGTTATGGTATATTTTTGTTATGACACATTTTCTGGTGGATTATGCTACTTTTTTTTTTATAACCAAAACGACTTGAAAGGTTCCTTTTGATACTGCTACTTATTTTTATCATATTGCTTAATTAAAGAATATAAAGCCTTATTAAATATTTGTAACATGTCTACTAGTGTGCTCCACCCTTGTTTCAGCTGTGATGCTCTGCTCCATGTGCTGCAGGTAGTGCTGAGAGTATCAGAAACTATAGAGGTGGAGCAAACTCTGTGAGACAAAGCATTCCATTGCATCATTTCTAAATCAACTAAAGCATCGTTTTTCTGCATGATGTGCTTTGTTAAACTGTTGTTATATCAGCATACGTCATAAGACATATAAACACTGATACAGTTATATGTGTTGGCTCATATAAGCTGTTAACATTAGCAAAGGAAAATGTGAGTTGGGCTCTAGTTATTAACCGCCTCTCCTCTGACAGCCAGGGCATGTGGTAAGTTTTCTGTTCAGTCTGTTGCATTGTTGTGAACATAAATATCTAAGAAATGCCTAAAGGGAATCTCTATACATTTTATAACTTCCCAATGTGGTGATTGAGATTTGAGTCAAGGGTCAAGTTCTTTTTTACCGTTGCAGTCAGTGAATACAATATGTCAGCGATGCCCCAAGGGGATTTTATGATATTTTTTAACTGAACGTCATCAGTGATCGATTAATGGAAACATTTCTCTCACTCTACTCCTGCATGTCTGTCGTGAGAAAAGTCCATTTACAATGAATGCTCTGCAGATAAACGGGGAGAGAGAGAGAGAGAGAGAGAGAGACACGTTCAATGGTTTTATGACCTTCTCGTAAGATACTGTTTAATGTATTTTGCCACTTTTGCACATGCACTGCACTCCTGAAAATGCCCTGAAATCGTCCGCTCATGCTGAATGAGTGAATGCAAACTGCAGAATGTTTTTCATTTGAATATCCAGATTTTTTTTTTTCCGCCAGCCCCCTTTTTAAAAAAAATTCAGCTGGTTGGGTGAATCCATGTTTAAACACAGCAGGTAATATTCAGGAACATTCAGCACAAGGTATATCATGTAACCAGTGGGATATTTGTGCACACAATGAAACTGCTTTATTAGGTTTATATTCACTAATATTTTATTCTCTACACTTTGCTTAATACTGTGAACAAACCCAACGACTCATGGCATTATTTGAGGCAAAAACTGTCTTCATAGCGTCGACCTCTGTTGCTCCTAAGGCCATCTTGGATATGTTATAAACATTACAGTGTGACTTCCTCAAGCGTCCTTTTTACGTCATGAGGTGCCTCCCTACACATTGTCTATCTGGCAGCAAAAAGGCAACTCAGGAAAAATATCAGGGGCAGGTCGTAATAAAATTTTCTAGAAATACTAAATAGGATGCAAACTGCAGCTTTACTGGTTGTGGATAAACACAAGTGTTAGGTGGTTATTCTAGTTACATCCGTCGTAGTATGTTGGCTCTATTCTGTTCACAATGTCTGTAATATAACACGGTTTTTCTCATTTTCCCCTCCCCAGGGTATTCACGGGCCCTATCCATTTGGACAGAGCTAGAACGACAAAGATCCCCCCCTCCCACGGTGGATGACGAGCTGAACACCCTGGGAGTCCTTAAATACAGAGGAGTCGGAGGGGGGAGGAACTGTTGTTTTATATTGACTCATGCCAACCCTCTCCCTGACCTCATGGCCCCTTTCCACAGAAACACAAACTACAGTGGGGTGATGGATTACATCCGCTACAGTGACACGCCCCACCTGACATCAAAACACCCGGACTCGCATGTGTGAACGCTTCATTAAAGAGTTAAAAATAGATACACGCAACTATTTTTTATTTCCACTGTAAGACACGTCTCGTTCATGGGAATATCCACTCTAAACTATCCGCACATCATTTAGTTCTCTTCAGGGTTCAAACACAAGACGGGAAATGTTTCCAGAATTGCAAAGAATTTTTTAAAATTATTTTTCCCCCCCAGCCTTGTTAAAAATAAAGACATAAAAGAACTTCCACTTTTACAAGGAGAGATAGTACCTCTTATTCACCACATTAATGAAAAGCCTTACACCAGTTCCACTGATAAATAACTGTCGAGGAGTATTATACCAGACTGTTGGTCACAGACAGTTAATGAAGCATTGCCTATCACAAATTACTAATACTAAACCACAACGTTTCTATAGTCCCTGGATAAATGTAGATGGTCAAGTTTTCACTATGCAAGCTTTCACATAGCAGTACCACTAAAGCTGTACAATAATCGAAGCATAACGTTGGAGAACTATCAATTCAATTTGAGTTTAATCGCCTTAAAAGCCTGACTTTGTCTGGTGTGAATCATCTTTACTCGTTTAGTTCAACATTTAGTTATAATAAAGCTGAGAAGGTCGTTTAGGTCTGTGGAATTAAAACTTACAGGTTGAGCAGAAATAACTCCAGATAAAGTTTGAAATTGAGCTCTTATAGGATTTCTTGTAGACACTGCCGTGCACAGATCTGTTAGTATTTTCTTTATTAAACATCCTTTGGTTGATATTTCTTTGAAGGCAACAGCTGTGTTCAACCTGAAAATGTCATTACAGAACTTATGATTGACTTTCACACATTTATTTCAATGCAGATTCTTCACATTTATAGCTGAGATAACAAGAAGTCACAAAGTTTACAGTTTATTTTTTTACATTTACATCTCAAAAGGTAGAACATACATAAATAAAACTAGATTAACACAATTTAGATCGTCTTTATCCCATTTCTCCGACCTCACTACAGAAATCCTGTGTTTACTGCAATTAAACATTAAACTTAACATCACACATTTAGAAGTCCACCATCTGTGTGCTTCAAGAAAAAAGAGTAGACCTGTATCATGTTTGATGAACGTACTAGTGCCATTAACACAACATACAGAACACAACATGTTCTGATGTAAAGATTTTAAAAAGGATTAGAGTAAAAAATCCCCTCTCCCATTTTCAAAGAGAATATGGCCCTTGTCTCCCTGTGTAGGATCCCTGTCACTCCTAAGAGAACAAAGAGACACTAATCTGCTCTGTCATCAGGCATCGCTGTCTGAAAATTACCCTTCCTGACAGCTCTGGAGATTTCTTTTTTTCAACGTGTTTTAGGGTGGATTTCCCTTTAATCAGACGCTGAAGGGGATGTGAGTGAATGTGAGAGAGTGCGGCTGGAGGACGGGTTGAAAAAAAAAAAAAGCCATTCAAATCTATTTTTGCCTGATGAGTGACTGTAGTCTGAGTCCATGTCAATTGTATGTGTCCGACTATATATATATATATATATATATGTGTATGCCAGGGAATGTGTGGGTGCATGTGTTATGGTTTCTCTTTGAATTTACTGACATGATAATAGTGTATACTACTTGGGCAAAGGATGACGTGTCTTTTCTTCACAGACACACCTACATTTAGAGAGATTTACCGGGCGTGTACCTCTGAAGTATTGTTGAGTGATTCAGCAGCGTTTGGATGAACTGACTCACTATTTGCCCTTTTTTGTTATTTATTTTTTTTGCCGTTTTAATCTTGCACCGCAGTCACATCAAATCTCGTTTAAAACCAGCAGGTGGTGCTAAAAAAATCAGAAGACCAACCTTAAACTAGATTTCCACATCACGCTGAGTGCTTTGCAAGGACAAGTTGTAGTAGTTTGTTTTTTAGTTTGAGTATGAAAATGAATGGTTCACATCAGGATTAGCCCTGATGGTATGTTACTGCTATTTGCACAAATCTATTCATCACTTCTAATAAGGAAACATGTTTTTTTTTTGTTTTTGTTTTTTTTGCTTTTATTGGTTTGTAATACCAGCATTTCCTGGAAGATTTTATTGTGTTTTATTTTTACTTGCTCCTCTCCCCTAAAGACCTCTCAGCTTTAAAGTTTAATTTTCATGGTTCTTTAACGTTAGTTGAATCCATGCAGCGTTGTCTGACTGATTCATGCTAAAGTTGATCACACGTGTAGGATTTGTACATCAGCGGACTTTCTACTATCACACCTGAATTTAAACCTCAGCTTTGCCTTGTTCATAATGTTGGAAGTTATTTCATGTATTTTTGGGATTAAAAATAAAAAAAATGGGGATGTTGTTAACGGGACTCCATGATAGTGTTTTTGATCTTTCTTCAATGAGGGTGAAAATGTGTTTTATAAATGTGTCGTCTTTTAATCAAACTTTCTCTTGAGTGCTAAGGATGAACCTCTGAATGTTGTTTCTTGACGTTTAGACTTCGTTGTGGTTTGTACAATTCACCAGCATTCTGCGTTTCTGTGTTTGCTTTGAGAGTCTGCTGAAAGTCCTCCTCCCAAACAGTATACACTGTTCTGCTTTGCTTCTCTGAGTCACGTCAGGGGTTGTGTGTGTGTGTGTGCGTGTATGAGGCATGTGAGTATTGCTGGATTCATTCTCTAGGTCGAGTGTGCGACTGTGTGGGTTTGAGACAGGTTGCATGGTGAGTGGATGAGATGAAAGTTTACATAGTCCTGAAATAGCACATTTATCTGAAGAGAAGCAGTCAAAATAAAGCCCCCCCCCCCTTCCCTTGTATCTATAAGTACGCATTTGTATGATTAAATTAACACTGAAACAAGGACTACATGTGTGTTTTTGGAGGCGGGAAATACGAGACATTTGGATCATGTGTTTCTGTTCTTTACTTACTCTTACCGTCAGGTGTCATGTTCTAAAAAACTCGTGGAGAGGTTTATGATAAATGTTCAGTACAACATTAAATGCACCGATGTAGTCGTGTCACAGATGATGAATCCTCATGACTTTGTGACATTCACATATTTTGTTTTGAGTCAACATTTCACTTTGGTTTGGACAGAAAACCTGCATAGTGTGTGAAGATGTACTGAACTTCTCTTTAGCCTCAAATGTAATGTTTGCTGCTTATTCTTACACCTTAAATCAAGCTGTTGAACATTATATATCGTCATGATGTAACATTTTTAAGACTGGTATTCAGTTTTAAGTACCCCTTGGTTTTAACTACAGCCTAAAAGAGGTTGTTAGTGAAAGTCAATGTTTTCTAATGAGATGAAAACAGCATCTGTGTTCATTGAAACCTCAATCACAAATGACTGTATATAAAAATAATGGATCAGGTTTCTTTAGATTTTTTTGTAAATATTTTTTCACCTTAAGATAAGTATGTCAAAGTTGTGAAAGATCTTTACTCTGAGAACTTAAATCAAAATCTACTTTTACAATAGCTGTTGATCACTTAGGTAAGGCAAATGTTTTCAAGTAGCACTTTTAAAGCACAAGGGCAACACAAAGGGCTTTACAGCAACAAGAAATAAAGAGAGACACAAACAGAGAAAGAGTTAAGAAGATTAGAAAACACACAAGATAAAAACATCCTAACTAAGCACAATTAGAGAAAAGATACGAAGTTAAAATGAAAAAAATATTAACTCAAAGGCTATGCTAAGCAGTAGTTTGCACTGTCTCCAGACTTAGCTCCTCTGGAAATGTGTTCAACCATTGAGAGGCAGAGACACTTAATGCGGCTTCACTGTATTTAGTTTGAACTAACCAGTCCTTACAATGAAGACAGTAACGTCTTTGGATGATTCATTGTATTTAATTTGAACTAACCAGTTCTTACAGTGAGGACAGTAACGTCTTTGGATGAAGAAATCTCTTGATGCCGAAACAGGATGTCAGTTTGTCTTGATTTGCAAAACTTCCATCGAAGTATCACCTTTCAGCCTGTGACACGATACACATCTGTTTCCAAAGAAGTGTCTGCAGAATGTTTTCTTCTGGAATTACTCTGTTCTAATGAATGACATGCTTGACTACATTCATGGATTTCCAAAGAAAGTCCCGGCAGAGACGTGCAAGTAACCGTTACCTGTCGCTGCCGCCCGGCTGGAGGAAGTTTACGTTCCTGCAGGCCAAGGTCAATGAGATGAACGTGTTCTTCAATAGGTTCAGCACGAGGCCTTTGGCTACCTCCCTGGCCCCTGATAGCCACACAGACCCTACATCCTCCCCCCTCCCCGCAAGTTACCTGGCGGCACCCACTGCCCCCTCCAACACGCTCTGACCCCCACCGTTCCCCACACTTCTCTGGCCTGTCTTGTCTGTCTCCAGTAGCCAGGTGAGAATGCAGCTCGAGAGACTCGGCCAGAACAAGGCAGCAGGTCCAGATGGCATCAGCCCCAGGGCTTTGAAAGCCTGCGCAGGTCAGCTATGTGGCACTCTACAGCATCTTTTCAACCTCAGCCTCGGCCAGGGGAGGGTGCCAGTGCTGTGGAAAACATCCTGCCTTGTTCCGGTCCCCAAGAAACCCTCTCCCTCTGCCCTCAATGACTACAGACCAGTTGCCCTAACATCGCACATCATGAAGGTACTTGAGAGGCTGATCTTGGCCCACCTGAGACCACAGGTGACCAGCTACCTGGACCCATTGCAGTTGGCATACTGCCTGAGGGTGGGGGTTGAGGACGCCATCATCTACCTACTCCACAGAGCCCACTCTCACCTGGACAGGTCTGGTAGCACTGTGAGGATTATGTTTTTTTGATTTTTCAAGTGCTTTTAACACCATACAGCCAGTACTGCTACGTGAGAAGCTGGAGCTGATGCAGGTAGACGCCACCACAACATCATGGACCATGGATTACCTGACTGACAGACCACAGTTTGTGAGGCTGGGGAGGTCTGTGTCTGAGCGGGCGGTCAGTGGCATAGGAGCGCCGCAGGAGACTGTGCTGTCCCCTTTCCTCTTCACACTATACACTTCAGACTTCCAGTATAACTCTGAGGCTTGTCACTTACAGAAGTTCTCAGACGATACTGCGGTTGTAGGGTGTATCAGTGGTGGAGAGGAGACTGAATACAGGATGCTGGTGGATAACTTTGTTGCATGGAGTGGGAAGAACCACCTGGTGTTAAATGTAACAAAGACCAAGGAAATGGTGGTGGACTTTAGGAGGGACAGGCCTGAGCTAAGCACCATCTCTATCCTCTGGGATGGGGTGCAGGTGGTGGAGTGCTATAAATACTTGGGGGTGCGCATGAACAATAAACTGGACTGGAAGCACCACACAGAGGCCGTCAACAAGAAGGGTCAGAGCAGACTCTACTTCTTGAGGAAGCTTAGGTCTTTTAATGTGTGTAGCAGAATGTTATCCATGTTTTATCAGACTGTTGCGGCAAGTGCCATTTTCTTTGCAGCCGTCTGTTGGGGCAGCAGCATCAGGGCTTGTGACTCTAAAAAGTTTAACAAGCTGATTAGGAGGGCTGGCTCTGTGCTGTGGAGCCCCTGGAGGTGGTGATGGGGAGAAGGATGATACAGAAACTGTTGAACATTATGGACAATAACATGCATCCCTTACACAATCTCGAGTGTGAACAAAAGAGTGTCTTTAGTGGGAGGCTACGGCACAAAAAGGACAGATTTAAAAATACTTTTTTTTACCTACTACAATTGCACTTTATAACGACTCCCCTTTAAGTAAGGACAGAAGACATTTAAACTTTTAAACTTTAGCCTGAGTTGCATATATCATATATCAAACTGTATTGTGGGCTCATGTTTTTTTTTTTGTATGGGTGGGATATGTATGTATATTATGTGTTGTGTTGTGTGTTTGTATGTATGCGGGTTGCTGGAACACCTACATTTCTCTGCTGGGATGAATAAAGTATATCTTATCTTATCTTTATCTTAAACCCATCTCGTTTCAAATTCATGGATTTAATTTTTGGATTTTAAATATTTGTGTTTCAGTGTGCTTTATTCACAAAAGGAACATTATTGATACGTTCTTGCTAATCCCACACTCTTTATTTAAAACTAAACATCAAGTTTTTGCTTTTCGCTGTTTTCACATTGGATCACTGTTATAAGAAAACTTGTGTGTGTGTGTGTGTGTGAGAGATGTCCCGATGACTTGAATGGGGCTTGTGTAACATGGTGTGACAGGTTACTGAGGACAAATATTGACTTTTGTGTCAGCGTGGAGTCTCACAAGCTCCAATTATATCTGTGATCTCTCGTAACGCCTGAGTCAATAGGCTTGTTTTGATAATGATGGATAACTGCTATCAAGTCAAACAGGCCTTTCGCTCCAGGCTGCTGCTGCAAGAGCGTGAAAGTGAAGGAATGAAACACAGGTGTCAAAAGAAAAACAATGTTTTTAATATGACAGGAAAAATATAAAACACTGCATAATGTAGAAGACCTTTTGTTTGACATAGTGACTGTAACGTTTTAGTTATTACAGAGACTTAAATGTGTGGCGATAACGAAAAGAGAAGACAAAAGTTAAAAAACACATTCGTCTTATTTGGTTTAAAATTCTGTCGTGTATAAATGATTTAATGAAATAGTCCCCAGAAGGCATGAGGGGGAAAAGGCCTGAGGCAAACCTGAAATGTTTAATTATTGAATCTCTTCCTCTGATCCTTATCGGTCAAAAAATGAACCGCCCCATCATTTCGGATGAAATCCCAAAACACAAGAGCAGGATTGTTAGTTTTGCAGAAAATGCAAACTTCCATGTAAGAAGAAAAAAACAGCATCTGCTAATTGTCAATTTTTGCATCACAACACAGCAGTCATATAAGATTTATCTGTCTGATTAAACACGAAGTCCCAAAAAAAAGTAAAATATAAAATACAATCACACGATACAAATTAGATGGTATCATGTGCACACAAGATATATTCCTTTTTACTCTCTGGGACTTCAGGGGCTCAGTAGCACTTTTATATCAAACATGAATAAATACATTAACTCATTTGGAATAATCGTAAAACTGTCGGGTCAAACGGTGCAGTCGGTGTCAGAGACAGGAAGCAGTCGTGTGTTTTAAGGCAGCATCTGGTTGATAGAGGTTCCTCTGACTCGGAAGTGTCAGTGTGATTAGATTAGATTTTATATGTCAGGGTGGGGAGCGCTCGGGGCGTCATAAAAGACGATGCGCGTCAGGTAGACTTTTGGAGAGCAGCCTGCTCAAAGGAGGATCAAGACCTCAGAAAAGTTAAAAGGTTGTAAATCACTTTTAAAAAAGGAGATACTACGGTAAGAAAAAAACCCCAAAAAATTCAATTCAAGAAAACGTTTTGTTTTCCCCAAATATGTTCTGGAGGAAAAACTGCAGAACATTTTCATCAAAGCTTGTGTAAGAGAAAATTAAAACTTTCCTCTCACAGAAATCTCGAATCATTAACAACAAATGTTTAATGTTCAAACAGTTCCAGGTCAAGTTTACAGGTTGATACACTTCAAGCAATCTGTATCCTCTTTAGCAACTTGACATATGTTGTGAGATTATGACTAGATTTGTCTCTTAAAATGTTTTTATCTCCAAAGGTAAATATTCATCACAGCTGTTGGGTAAATGTAGCTGCATGAAATTCATTTCCATCATAAATGTTGCCAATGATTGTATAAAGTTGCGCAAGAAACCCCTGCAATAAAAGTAACTCATACATTTATTTACTCTCTGAACTACGGTGGCTGGGAAGTGCAAAGCAAAATTACAAAGTGTGAAACAGTTTTACAAAATGTGAGACAAATTACATTTTGAGAAATATTTTGACATTTTATGAAACAAAATTATAAAACAAAACA